TCCATCAATCTCTATTTATTGAGTCGTTAATTAGAGACGTCTAATTTCCCAGGCCAATTCTGCCTAGGCGTGGGGGCTGGGGAGGAAGCAGGAATCTGTTTTATTGCTTAAATGGTGATGAATTTTTCCAGGACAGGGTTTGATGGTGGGAAAGGAGCCCCTTTTAAATGGAGGTCCAGAAGCAGGGAAAGCCTTGGAGCAGCTTATAAACCAAAAGCATGCTGTATTTTTCAAATACAGTGGCAGCCCCATATTAAACCCCTGCTTTATTTTGTTAACAAGGCTGTATTGGATTTTTCTGGACTGCAACACCTTACCCTTGGCAGTGGTATTTTATTAGCAGCCAAGGCATCAGTTTTGAACTCAAAGTGGGATTAATTTAATATTAAGTAAGAGCTGAGCGGGGCCGCTGTGGATTGAGGAGTTGATGGCGTGTGACTAGTGAGCTGTGCGTGGAGGTTATTAGCTGTCCTACGGGGAAAAATGATCCCGAGCTGAATATTTATGAGTCGTCCTGGCCCTGGGATGGCTGCGAGTGGCTTGGGGACGGGGCAGGGTCAGGCAGGGCGATGAGCAGCAACGGGAATGAAGCGGTGAGCATCCCCACTTGGTGCAAGCCCACGCTGTTCTGGCCGCGGCGTGCGTGTTGGCAGAGCCGGTCCCTCCCGGCATCCCTGTGCCCGCAGAGCCATCCCTCCCGTGTGTGACGGGGCCGAAGGGCTGGGTGATGCCGTCGTTTGTTTTGCCCCACGGCGAGGGTGCTGGGATGCTGGCAAGGCGATTGCAGCTGTTGGGGTTTCCCTCGCTGCAAAGCAAACTGAGATCCTGCCCTGGTTTTGTACACGTCTCCATTGGGTCAGCTGCACGCTGCCTTTAGGAAAGGAAAAAAAACAGCGTCCCCTAAGGAGAAGTCTGGGCTCTGGATGGGACCTGCTGACCCCAGCTCCCAAGGCCAGAAAAATATTCACAGCCAGCAAAATATTTCAGTTATGGTCAATCAAAGCAAAACTTGCCATTTATTTTTTTGGAATGGGGGGAAAACCAGATTTCTGGTGACATTTTGCCATCTCTCAAGCTGCATCCCGACGGTGGGTGCTCCTCTCCACCTCCTCCCAGGAGTTTGTTTCCTTGTTGATTTTAATGGAGTGGTTCAGAAGAAGCTTCTTCCCTAATTAAGTACGGTGGAGTGAGGGAGGCTGGGCTAAGTGGGGAGGCAGCAGCAGCTCTGAGGGAATTAATAAAGCCAAATTTAGCCAAGGGAAGCATCTTCGTGCTGATGGCCGAGGCTCATGGCAGCTGGAAGGGGAGAGGAGACCCAGGGGGGCGGTGGGCGACTGTAGCTGATGCTCGTTTCAATCTACAATTAATATTCCCTAGCTAAACAAAACAAATAGGTTCTTGTGAGCAAACAGGCAGCCTTGCAGTGCCGATGAGGCAGGCAGAGCTTGGGGAAAACCAGGCAAAGGGGAGTTTGCTCCTGTGCAAGCTCTTCCCTTGCTTTTTCCAGCTGGGAATCAGCTCCGGCAGAGCGGCAACACCCGGGGGAGCCCCAGGGGGGAATGAAATCCGAAAGCGTTTAACAGGGTCTGCAGAAAGAAGAGCTTGGGGATTTATTTTTTTTTGTTATTTTTTTCCCTTTCAAGTGCGTTCTGGGTTTAAGCGCATCTCCTCCAGCGGAGTGCCCGCTACCTGCAGCGTGCCTACGAGCCACTGCGTGTCGGAAATATGTTTCCCCAGCTTATCCGGGGTATTTTTAGCCCTGACGCACCCAGCAGCCCCGTAACGGGTTATTTTTTGCTCTCGAGTGCATCAGTCGTGCTACGACGCAGCCCGGCGGCGAAGGGCATGTGGCAGCCTCGGGTCACCCAGGGCGGGGGAGGCAGCCTTGGCTCTCCTTCATTAACTGCTGCTAATTACTGCTGGGAGTGGGAGCGGGGGGATGCTGCTGGGCCCGCAGCATCCGGGCAGTTTTGAGTTATGTAAATCTATGTGTGCAGAGCAACCAATGGGGGAGCACCTTGATTTGCATATATGCATGCTGATTTGCAAACCTCCAGGTGCGGGTTAATTAACTGGAGGGGTCGATTGCTTGCGTGAGGATTGAATTTATGGCCTTGTGTCCTCCCCCACCCCTGCCAGTGAGCGGCCACGGCTGCACCTTTCCCACCCCGGGCGGTGTGGGAGGCTGTGTGACCACAGCTGGGGTGGCCTCGGGGACTGCCAGTGGCCTTGGGGACATGGCACTGGGTCGAGCACCCAGCTTTTCTGGCAGGCGGGTGCAGGTTTCTGCAGGCAGGGTGGTCTTGCTGGAGGTGATGTCCCTGGGCAGAGCTCTGTTTCAGGGGGGTGACAGCTCCAACTTGTCACCGGCTGTGTCCCCACTTGGGCTGGGCAGTTTTGGTGAGGAGGGGGCTCGTGTGTGCCCGTGATGCCTTCGGAAATGCATCCTGGCAGCTCCATCCAGGCAGAGGCGAGGCTTTCCCACAGCAGGACTTTTTCCTTAATGCTCTTCTTTATATTTTAATAAATTAAAGTTTTTATGAGCTTCTTGCTGGATCCAAGGGCTTTTTAAGGCAGCTGGAGAAGCAACTGGAAAGCAGCTGGATAAGACTTGCTATATTTTTTAATTTACTATTTTTATTTTCGGCTTTGGGAGAATGATTCAAGAAAACTCCTCGTCCCCCTTTTTCCCGGGAGCTTTCATTTCCAACGCTCTTTCCTGCTTTACTTTTCCTCTGGAGCTTGAAATGAAACGTTTCCCTTGAAAAGGCCGGGGAGAGAAGAGGCCAGGCAATTAATAATCAAAAAGGGATGGGGAAGGAGTCTTTTTAACATAAAGACGTTATGGTTTTATGTTGGTTCTCTTAGCAGAGTCGATCAAAAGGAGTTGGCGAAAGGACCTTGAATCGGGTCCATCGCTGTGGCGCTCTGAAGTTGCTGCTGACAGCCCTTTGCTTATCTGCACCAGTGGAGACGAGTAATTAGGAGTGGAGAGGAGCCCTGCCTAATTACAGTCCCCCTCCTTCATGCAGATGGCACGGCTAGCTGGCACGGAAGGGTTTGCGGTGGTGGGATGGGGGCATCAGCCTTGTCTCACCTCTGTGCCGCATTTTGGGGGGTAAGGTGGGAAACACATGGACAAAGCACGTCTCTAACCCTTGCGAAGCATTGGCTTGGCTTTGCGCGTGCGTAACGCGGAGAAGCTTCTCGCTGGCGTTTCTGGGGAGGATGCGGTGCCGGGGTGGGGACTGCGTGGCTTCTGCCACACTGCATGGCTGTGTCTGTGTGCTCTGTCGCAGG